TAGGGAGTCCCAGCGCGGAGAGCTGCGCTGTAGACTTACCCCAAGAGGCCTGAGGATAGTAGTCTGTCCAACACACTTTTAAAAATGAATGTATAAGTAAACAAACACACACAAAAAAAAGTAGAACAAACTAATTGTCTTTTTTAAGCCATGGGCTGTGATTCTGAGGGAATCCTCTAATTTGTAAAATATATCATTGGTTATCCAAATGGAAAATGAGATTAAAAGCAGAGATAATGCTTTTCTTCCAAAGGGCATCCAACACACTTTTAAAAATGAATGTATAAGTAAACAAACACACACAAAAAAAAGTAGAACAAACTAATTGTCTTTTTTAAGCCATGGGCTGTGATTCTGAGGGAATCCTCTAATTTGTAAAATATATCATTGGTTATCCAAATGGAAAATGAGATTAAAAGCAGAGATAATGCTTTTCTTCCAAAGGGCAAATGGGGCGAGGTGTGATGGCACATGCCTTTAATCCCAGCACTCAGGAGGCAGATCTCTGTGAGACTGAGGCCAGCCTGGTCTACATAGAGAGTTCCAGGCTACCTGAGGCTACAGGGAGACCCTGTCTCAAAAAAAATGCAAATGGTTGGGGGGTTAACACTGAGAGGATGGATGGATAAATGGATGGATGGATGGATGGATGGATGGATGGATGGATGGATGGATGGATACCTTTAGGAGCACAGTAAACTTTCATCTAGGTCATTAAATCAAATTCAAATACTTAACAATTTAATCTTTCCACAATGTAAACACTGAAACAGGATATAGGGCAGAATTTAGTAAAGTCAAATCAGATCACTGATAGAAAAAGAATTCTCAGCTAGCTAGGATAAAGGATAGCTCAACTTCCCAGAGTGACTTGGAGACAGGGTTACTAAGCAGCCTTTGGCAGTCATTCGTGTAAAGTATATCATTAACCCAGATCCTGTAAATACAGTAAATACAGCTACAACTTAAAAGCAAAAAAAATTAAATTTGAATACCTCTAAGGAAGATTCAACCTTTCAATGTGTTTCAGGTCCCTTCGGTGGAACATCATAAGAAAGCTTCCTCCCAATGGCTTCAGGAGGTACCACGAACTGCAGAAGCTGTAAGAAAAGCTTTAACTCCTAGAGTTATGATATCTAACTTTGTTTATACTGGTTCTTGCTACTTCTACATAATACCACTGCTTAAGTCTAGTTCCTCCTCTGGAAATTATTTAGTTGTTATCTGGAAACTTTCAGGTAACACTTCTGAATGATTTCTAGAAAACATTCTAGAAAAATTTCAGCTAACTATCCCTATATAAACTAGAGCATGTAAACTGGATCCTCCACCACATTGCAAGAATGGAAATATGTATTGGAACCCATATGGTGGAAAGAGAGAGCCATCTCCTACAGGTTATCCTCTAATCTTCATAAACATGCTACATGATGTGTACATGTGCGTGCACTCGCGCGTGCACACACACACACACACGCACTCACAGTAAATAAATAAATAAATGTAAAAAAACTTTTTACTTAAAAAAAAGATGTGGCATACAGTGAGAGAGCTCCTGACTAACCTGGCACGTATAACCTCTCACGACCCATCAAAGATGCTTCTTTTTGCAACAGATGGAGACTATTACAAAGTTCCACAACTGGTCAAATGCAGAGAAGAGGCGTCTATGTGGCTAGCCTAACCCTAAGTGACACATCTACAGTGCAACCCTAAGGCTCAGGGAGCTTAGCAGAAAAGGAGGTATAAAGAATATTAATACATCTCTCAACTCTCACCAGCAAAGCTTCCTCGTGCAACAGACGTTGATCAACCCAGAAAGCCACAACTGACAAAAGAGCAGAGAATAAGAGACTGCAGAGCGCTTATCCCTTAAGTGGACACCTATATCAAAACTCTGCCACCCAAGGCTCAGGGATCATTGCAGAAGAGGGGGTGAAAAGATTGTAAGAGCCAGAAGTGGTGGATGACCATAAGGAAACAGTCTTCCAGTCACCTGGAAAGTTACTCATATGAACTCACAGTGATGGTGACAGCATGCACAAGACCCACTCAAACTCAAGCCTGACAAAATCCAGCACAGAAATGGGGAAGTGGGGAAGAAGCCCCAACCTTAGCTGAGGAACTATTGCCAACAGATAACTGCTGGGAGAAAGGAAGTCAGTTCTCTTTAAGTGTGTGATGCTAGATTAACCAGTGTGTGATGCTAAGTTAACCAGTTTCCCATGGATGGACCCACACCAAAGAACATCTGGGGATACAAATGTGACTCAATAAGCCTTAATATATATGAAAAAGTACATGAAATCCTGCAGTGGGGATACTATGAGTGCAGATAGGGGAGGGGGTCTAAATATGATCAAAATATATTTATAAAATTCACCAAAAAATCAATTTTTTAAAAATTGAAACTAGAAAAAAAAGACATGGTGATCTTCTGCCACAATAAAATAGCAGGCTGGGAATGTGACTTAGGGGTGTAACACTTGTCCAGCAAGGCAAGACCCTGAGTTCAATCCCCAACCCACAAAAAAATTCAAAATAAAAGATTAAGTAGTGAAGTATTTTTTTCCCATAAGAGAGCAAGTTGCCATGATGGGAAAATTATGAGCATGTTGTTTAGGAGACTACATTCCATTTTCACATCTGCCTTATAATACAGATGTTTATCTTAGCCTTGAGCAGTACGGGGCACACTTGCTTCCCTCCAGGTTACATCATGAATGTACTCTCAAAATCCACAGTAACTCAAATGATGTCTACCTGTGATTTAGGTCAACATTGGGAGTAACTCATATTGCCAGGCAGCTGAATTGCTGGGTTTAGATATTCTGTCCCTAGACCACACCATCTAGAAAGCATCTCAGAAGTTCATCTTCATACATGCCTTGATTTAGTTTGGGTATATTAATATGTATCTATATTTTATTAAGATAATAGATGGCACTAGTCTGGACCCAAGACAGCCACTGACATATTCCCAGTAATCTGGGGGTGATTGGACCTGAAGAAGGCTAAGAGACAGGAAAGAATGGCTTTTTCTTACTTTGTCCATCCTCTTAACTTGAAATCTTATTTCCACACATACCCTAATGAAGAGTTTAACCAGAATTCAAACTCAACAGTACAGATCAGAGGATGTACTCTCACCTCACAACTCTTAGAGGACCGAGCAGCAGCCCTGAGCCACCTCCTCCTGTTTGCCAGGAGCTACCTCCCAAGCCCAACAAGACCCCTGGGATTCTGAATGTGGTTGTGTATGTAGTCAGTTTCTCCTGGCATGGTCACCTGTGGACACCTGGAGCTCTTAGTGGTCATTAGATCGTCCTGTCATAATGTGGACCACAGAACAACAGCAGATCCAGGTTCTTCACTCTGCAGGAGTCTGTGATACAGTGGAATTGAAATTTGCAAAGAATCAAGTAAATGGTCAATCCTAAGGGGATGCTGAGCTGGTGGTAGCCTCTGAAAACTCTGTGCATAAATTGTTGGAACTCCTGCTAGGAAAAGTTCTTAAAGGAAAAAGGTAGACATGAGGCCATCCACCCAACAGAACCTATCACAATCTGAGGCAGAGTCAGAAGAGGAAGCATGCGTCCATGCTCCCATTCTTGAGAGTCCAGAAATTCTGCTGGTGACCAGTGACCCTTTAAGAACCTTGCTGCCTCATCTGCCCCTGTGGATAAGCCCTCAGTGTGCTGTCCTCCTTCAGCCTTCCCATAATGGGTTTACCCCTACCCCCAATTCTACCCCACCCTCTCTCCTGAAACTTCAGGGTCCCTCCTACTCCTGGCACCCACTACCAACATCTCCTGCCCCCTTTCTTGATCACCTCCTCATTTGGCTGTACCTCCATGGTGCCATCCCAGTGTGCATTGCCCCAATCCACAGCCATCTTTCTGAGGCCAAATTTCAGGCCTCCACCAGATGCTGACATTAAGGCCGCTGCACCCTATCGCTACCATGGCAGCTGAGATTCCAGCTGTTTACAGTCAATGAAACAGAATTTGACAAGATCATAAAGTGAAATAGCACTTTCCACATGTGTCATTCTCAAAACAGTACCTGAAGCTAACCAGGGGCTGCGGTGGGGCTGTTGAGACTACTCACAGCTGTAGCTGTTATTCAACAGATCTGGGTCACCAATGATAAGCATTGCTATCATAAAGGACTGTCTTCATGGTACCAAGGCCAAGTTCTGTAGTAGAAATGGAGTAGGAGCTCTTCCAGGAAAACATTTCAGTCCAGGAAGAGGTCACCCAGCTGCCCAGGACAGCAGCAAGCAACACCTAGGTATGCTGATAATGAAGATCAGCATGATGACAGAGTCCAGGAAAGGAACCCGAGCACAAAGGACATCACAACAGAGGGGCAAGACCAGCACCACAGAAAAAGCAGTCTGCTTTGAAGAAAATGTCTTTGAATGGACTTTGATCTCCTCACCTTGATCAGAACTAAAAGACTGAAGCCTCCAAACCCCTAGCTTCCTCCAAAGACCCAGGCAGTACCTCTCCCCTACAGGATTGAAGATGGCTTAGCAGCCTTCCCAACCCCATCCCTCCTTTTGCCAAGGGAAAGAACCTAAGAGCTTGAGGGAGGGTGCAGACATGAAGAAAGCAGCATGTCCCAGGCCTGGTCTCCATAGAGAATGGTGCTTTCCCAAGGAAACGTGAGTCTCTGATTCTCCAGGAGCAGTGTAGAGGACACTGATGAGACTTCATTCCCAAAGAAAATGGATCCTCCATGCAAGAAGAGAGTGGCTGCTTGTGTCAAAACACGCCCTGGGTCCTGTTTGGATGGGGCCAGCAGGGGCCAGCTCCCTGCTAGCATTCTACTTCTTTAACTCTGTTTCCTTCCTAGTTCTTTGAGGAAGGCCCATGAAAACAGAAACTACCTGGTAAGCATCTACTGTTCTTGGTTTTCCAGTCTCATGCATTGATGCTGTGCTGAATAGCTTTAGTGTCAACTTGACACACCTGGGTTGAGGGAGCCTTAATTGTGGAATTTCCTTCATTGGACTGGCCTGTGGCCATGTCCATGGGACACCTTCTTGATTGTTGAGTGATGTGGTAGGGCCCAGCCCACTACGGGTGGTGCCATCCCTGGTCAGGTGGGCCTGTGTTGCATAAGAAAGCAGACTGAGCAAGGGCCAGGAGAGCAAGCCAGTAAACAGTGTTCCTCCATGGCCTGTGCTCCAGGTCCTGCCTCCAGGTTCCTGCCCTGAGTTCCTACCTTGGGCTCCCAGATGAACTGTGACCCAGGATATGTAAGCTAAATAAACCCTTTTCTCCCCAAGTTGGTATTGGTCAGTGCTTTGTCACAGCAATGGAGAAACAAACTAGGACAGAAATTGGTACCAGAGAGTGGGATATTGCTGTGACAGACCTGACCTTGATATTTTTGGGAGGATTGTGGAAGTGTTCCAAATTTTAGGCTGGAAAAGCCATTGCGTGCTGTTGCTGTGGAGCTTGGAACAGTTATGTTGAAAGAGTTGTGGACAATGGAGGCCTGGCTTGTGGAGCTTCACAGGGAAGTGGAGACTATCAGTGCTGTTCGTGTGAGATTTTGAATTGAGAATCTGTGAGTTCTGGTCAGCTGAGGCTGAAGAATCAGCTGTGATTAAGAAGAGACCAGAACCTGAAGTAAAACCTTTGCTTTACTGGGACAACTGATGCTGGTTAGCTGGGGCTGAAAACTCAATTGTAAGTAACAATATACCAGCTTCATTGTGGTGAAGTCTTCTGGGAGGTATTTCCTCAAAGGGGACCTGAGCCTCTATCTTAAGCTGGAAGCAGGACTTGGTAATGTGTAAGAGTCTCCTGCATGGTTCTGGTGTTGAAAGTGTGAAGGGGTCACAGAGAGCAGCTGAGGCTTGGCACTCTGAGAGACCAGGAAAGGCCATAGGTGAAAGTGCAGCTTCAGCTGCAGTTAAGACCCCAGGATTGAAGGGGTTGGGGAGAGAATCTGAGGTTTTGCACCCAGAGAGGCAAGAAGAGGCCATTGGTGAAGGTGAAGGTCTCCTCAGTTTCAGTGGAGACCCCAGCTTTTTGGAGATGCCAGGACTGTGGAACAACCACCAAGGACCACAGTAGGTGTGGAACG